CAATGTTTTTAATCTTCCAAGATGGCACTACAGAGAATGTACATTTTAAATTATGTGCATTTGCTTTAATATAAAATGTACATGTTATTGCTTGAACGAAAGCCTGTCTTAAGGGATTTAAATATCTGTCAACTATGTTCAGAGCAAGGAGATGAGCTGAATGCTGAAACTGTGTCCATCATTCTCTTTGAAGTATTCTTCACTCTACTTGGGGGGAAAAAAACAGCTGCATTACTAACTGGTCAGATGACATTGTTAGTCTTGCACTGTTTTCTTCAAGTCCAGCTTTTAAATTGCTTTTCTTCATTGAAGTTGTTTAATACATTTCTAGCCACAGTACATGAAGCAGTAATCCAGTTTATGTAAGCTAAATTTAAGTAGGGTTGTTCTTCACAATTTATGTGATGGTTTGGTGGTATTTGTTCTAGCAGTAGTACAATGCAAACCATTTTCTTCTGAATACTTGGTGAAAATACTGTGTGTAGGAGCTGTGCTGTAGTTGTTGTGATGGTCTAGGAAATATGTGAGGGGCGAGGATTTTTGCAGGCAATATCTTTTATTGGACCAACTGCTTGGTTTGGATGCATTTAGACCATGGTTGGTCCAGTAAAAGATATCACTCTCAAAAGCTTTGCCTCTGGTAAAAAGTTCTTATTGAGCAGACGCTCAGAACATCATGTTTGTCTGGTGTTTTATTAAACATTAGCTAACCTGAGGAGACTTGACATAGTGTTGCTGATGGAAGAAATTAATTCCTGAATTTTTGTGCTTTATTCATTAGTATTGTATTTTGACTGGCAAATTGTTTACTCTCTTTCAAATATTTGGTTGAATTAATTTGCCTGCTTTTTATTTTTCTGTCCTTTTTTTTAAATCCTGCAGCAGACCTAGTCAAAGCAATTCAGTGTGTTACTTATGAATATTAGAGTGGCAGTTTGAAAATGTTTAATATGTTGTAGTAACTTCTGTCATTTTCTAATTGTATAAATTGAAAACTTTGCTCTGTGTTGGAAAAGTTTTGTGTTAATCTTCTGTTTTTGTAATCATTCCAAAGCTTTTCCGTCCTACTCGATGATCCCACATCATGAACACTGTCAACACAGCTGGGGCAGTTCTGTGGCTCATAGAGAATTTTTCCAAGCTACCCCTTGATTGGCTTGAAGGGATGCACTTCAGTAATTTAAGGACCTTAAGGAATGAGCTTGGATCCTAATGAAAAGTACTATATTGCTACAGCAGCAGACAGTTTGCTTCCATAATTCACTCACTCCTTTTTAAGATCTTAAAATTATTGGTAGCAAATGCCTGGGCTGAAGAAAGAAATGGCTGAGGGTTGTTAGCAGAGTTGACTTAGATCATTTAATGTGACATTTTCATTTAATGACACATTTAACTGCACAATGTTGTGGGATCCAAGTGGAGTGTTCTTCACATTCTGTTTATATGCTTTCAGGAGATGTTGGGCATGTATTTACAGGCTTTTCATCAGTGGAGGAACTCTGGTGATTGTTTTCAAAATGATTTTAAGTAATTTTCCCCTCTTTCCTTCAGGTTCCTGTTGCATGCAAATCGTGCCCTTGTGGCTACATATTTATTAGTCGAAAGCTCTTGCACGCTAAACGTGCCGAAAAATCGCCTCCCACTGCAGGTAAAAATTACTGGGGAGGGTTTCCTCTCCTGTTTCTATTTTGGGGAAAAATTGAGATCAGTTGACCTTCTGTGTACAAATTGTGACTCTTATCCATTCTTTCTTTTAAATTGTGGAAGTAATGCAAGTTAATCTTTTACAAACCTTGAAAAACAAAAGCTGCTGTCTGCAGCCTTACTTCTTTTGTGTGTGTGGTGCTTACATTTATTCATTGTTTATCCTTCAGCTACCTACCTTAATCATCATGCAAATATAACTCCCTACAGAAAGCATTCTGTTAATCCTGTTTTGAAGATAAATAGCTAAAGAAGTCAGAAAGAATCAGTTTTCAGAGCACTTGCTAATAGAGTTTTTTCCCCAACAGCAAAAAATCTTTGTTTTTGAAAAAGATATACTGAATTTATTGTTTTTATAAGATCTGTGGTGTTTATATAAGATACCAAGCTGAAATCTAAGTATTTTTTTCTTAAAATGTGTTAAAAGTGAAAATACCAAATTATTTTCCTCTCAAATTCTGTTGATTACACAACAAAGGAGAGTTTGTTGGATTTGCTTTTTAGCATAATTACGTGCTCCCTTGTGTTCTTATGTATCGGCTCCTCTGGCAGCAACAATGCAATGGTCAAAATGAATATTGAAACAGAATAATCTGATTTAGAATATATAGTAATGTAATAGCTATTGATCTATTGGATCACTTCAAATTGTAACTTAATAATAATTTATTTGGTTTCATGTTGGTTTAAAGAGAACTTCTGCAAAGAGTTTTAGGATTTGTTCACAGACTTATCCACTTTTAGGAGTGTGCAATGCTGGATGTGTGTGAATGTTGCAGGTTGGAGAAGGTTGGGGATTTTTTTTATTTTAAGGTTTGGTCAGTGTTTTTCTGTTTTATTTAATGGTTCATAATTGAAACTAGTTACCAGCCCAGTTAAGCTGTATTCTGACCGTACAAGGACCATACAAGTTATATCCCATGTCTTCCTTAGAGAGCGGTTACTGATCTTACCCCTGGTGAAGGAAATGCTGTCAAAAAGTTGTGGAACTGAAGTCCACTCTATGATAGGGTAAACTGGGCTCTTAACCATGGTTGGCAGCTAGTCTAGGAGTGAATCCCTGATACAGACAAATGCATGATCTTCTTTGCTCTGGCAGCTCCTGCAGCCAAGCTGGTTCCAAACATACTGGCCTTTCCGTTTGGATTAAACTAGCAAGGCTGAGAGGGGGACACTAATGTGTGGGCAACTCAGTGTTTCTGTACATGCTGGCCAGGCTTTTGAACACTGGAGAGGTTACTCCATCTTCACTTTACTTTCAAGAGAGGCTGTAATTCTGTTGTCTCTTGAGACAGACAGATGCCTACTACTACTATTGTAGTGACTTTCAGGTCATTGGAACTGATCATTATCAGGAACATTTGGAAACTGGGCTTTCTAGCCTGTTATGGAAAATAAGTATTCGTGCATTGCATGTTAATTTATTCTACAGTTTTGTTTTAAAGTGCTAAATGCATTTAATAGGAACAAAAACCTCCTCTTTGTGATCAGTAAGTGTGTGGTACTTGTCAACTCTGCCTGAAATGAGTTGTTCAGCCTTGTAGCCCAGGGTTGCCCAGCTGGTGGTCCACAAGGAGTTAATTTGTGGTTTCTGGGCTTCCATCTGGCTGTGGCTGCAGCAGCTTCAAGGAGCCCCAAGCTGGGTGCATTGTGGGGAGCAGGGGCTTAGGCACATGGGAAGGGAGTCCTTGACTTACACTGTTGTGGCCTGTGTGGGGTGCATGGCCCCCTACCCCTGGTGTGGCTTCCACAAGGTCTGGCCCCTGGTTTCATTCCCCTTTTTATTGTACTTGTTTAAATCAATGCTGTTTTGCTTTGTTTGCTTGTACTTGGGTCAGTTATAACTTCTTTTATTTTTTGGACCCTGGAAGAAAGTCGCAATGCTATAAGCAAAAAACCCCCTCTGAGATTCTTTATTAGATGACCTATAATGCTAAGTTAGAACTTCTGTATTGCAAGATAGGAGAATAATAAATGATGAAGAGCAGTTCATCACCTGAACAACCAAGCAGTTAATGAATCAGTTCAATCAGTGGAAGATAGAGTGCTTCAAGATGTGATTCCAGTGGGAGAGTCCAGGCTCAAAATAACACTCCTTTTTCTATGCTGTTCTTTCTCCACAACTTATGCTATTGGCTTATATATTGACAAATACGGGTAGACTTAAGTTAGTAGTGGTAATAGCGATGATAATTATTATTACTCTCATTGAGGTTTGTATATGGAGCCTTAAAGTGGAGCAGAACCCCCAAAATGTTATGCTTAAAACCTCTTCTGCTGTTTGGCTTGGGAGGAGACAGCTGTGCATCCCCACCATGAGAGAAGAGGGCTTGGGAGGGACAGTGATGTAGGGTACTGACCCTGAGTGTGTGTCATGAGAGTGGGTACATATAGGAGGGAATATAGTGAGGGGAAAAAAAGGTTAGTGACTGGTGGTTTGGAAGTGAATTTGGGTTGAGTAGAGCTTGGAGGGGACATTCTTCTGGGTCAGAGGGAAGGAGGTGGGATGGGGGGTGGATTGTTCTGGGATTTGCAGGGTTGGGGGGAAGTTTGTTTCATTATACTACTTTATTTTAATATTTTCTTCTGGTTATAAAGCTTTTTTGTCTTTATTCCCCTGAGCCTTTTATGGGCATATGTATCTAATAAATAAATACTTTTATCAAGAATACCTCAAATCTAGTTTTCAGCATCTTAAAACACTAATACCCTTGCTTCTACAGTTTAGTTTAGTTTTCTTAGCTTAACTCTTTGGCTTCACAAACCCTATACTCCCTATACCAAAAATAATTAAAATTTAAAACTTAACATCTTCTAAAACCTTTCTTGGTTAACAACTACTCAGTCTTTCCTAGTGGATTTGGTGTGTATATATACAGCTGAGTGAGGTGAGCTACTGGAAAAGTTGGATATGGTGACAACTAATTTTGTGGTTGATCTAAGAAAAGGGGAAAGCTGTGTGGGGCAAGAGCTGAAACTGAATCAAGGATAAAGCCATGAAACCCACTCTAAATTGTACTGTCTTTTTATTTGAACAGAGAACAGGAGTGAGGCCAAGAGGAGGCGAACAGAAAGAGTTAAGCGAGAGAAAATAAACTCTGCAGTAAACAAAGACTTAGAAAACAGAAAAAGGTCCAGATCTAACAGCCAGTCGGATCATAGCAGACGGGGAAGAGGAAGACCCAAAACTGCCTCAGCCAAGAAACATGAGGAAGAGAGAGGTATGTGAATTAGGAAAGTTGTTTATTGGGGAAAGATGTTTTTTTGGGCTG